GGCACAAGAATATGACCTTAATATAATTTTATGAAGATGATAAAGGCCCTTAAAGAGAAAATGAAAAATTTCCTTAAAGAATCTCAGGCATTGAAGATATGATAGAGTAAGTAAATTCCATCAGTCAAAGAGAATGTTAAATACCAAAAATTTCTAACACAAAACATCCAGGAAATCTGGGACACCAAGAAAATACCAAACCTATGAATAATAGGGTTTAAAGAAGAAGAAAATCCCAGCTCAAAGGCATACACATAGAAAAAATAATAATATTCAACAAATCTAAGAAGAAAATGTTTCCAACCCAAAGAAGGGCATGCCTATAATGTATAAGAATCTTATGAAACACCAAATAGGTTAGACCAAAACACTAATCATACAGAATAAAGAATATTCAGAGCAGCAAATGAAAAAGGCCAAGTAACATATAAAGGCATACATAACAGAATTATACCTGACGTCTCAATGGAAATGCTAAAAGCCAGAAGGTGCTGGACACATGTTTTACAGACACTAAGAAACCACAGATGCCAACCCAGTCTGGTATACCCAGCAAAAATTTCAATCCCTATAGATGGGGAAGGCAAAATATTTCATGAGAAGAACAGATTTAAATAATACCTATCCACAGATCCAGCCCTACAATGTAATCCATCATATAAACACACTGAAAGAAAAAATTAGCCATATGATCATCACACTAGATGCTGAAAAAGTCTTTGAAAAATCCAACACCGTTTCATGATAAAGACTTGGAGAGAATAGTGATAGCAGGAACATACCTAAACATAATAAAGGCAATATATAGCAAGTCAATAGCCAACATAAAACTAAATGGAGAGAAACTCAAAGTAATTCTACTAAAATCAGGAATAAGAAAACAAGGTTGTCAACTCTCCATACCTCTTCAATATTGTACTTGAAGCTCAATCTAGAGCAGGGAGACAACAAGCGAGATCAAGGGGATACAAATTGGAAAGGAAGAAATCAAACTTTCACTATTTTCAGGTGACATAATAGAATATATAAGTGACACAATTTCTGTCAGAGAACTCCTATATCTGATAAACATCTTCAGTAATGTGGCTGGATACAAGATTAACAAAAACAAAAAAAACAGGTGCCCACTTTCATACAGATGAGAAATGGGTTGAGAAAGAAATCAGAGAAACAACACCCTTTACAATTGCCACAAATAATATAAAATATTTTGGGATAACTCTAATCAAACAAGTGAAAGACATAAAGAACAAGGAATTTGAAGAAAGAAGGTGGATATCAGAAAATGGAAAGATCTTCCATACTCATGAGTGGATAGGATTAACATTGTCAAAATGGCAATCTTACCAAAAGTAACAATAAATTCAATGCAATCCCCATCAAAATTCCAACACAATTCTTCATATGCCTCAAAAGGACCATACTCAAGTTCATATAGAAAAAACAACCATGAAAGCTAAAACAATCCTGTATAATAAAGCAATTTCCAGAGGCATCACAATCTCTGACTTAAAGCTTTATTTGTGTGTGTGTGTGTGTGTGTGTGTGTGTGTGTGTGTGTGTGTGTGCTAACAAGAATGGCACAGAATTGGCAAAAATAGACACATGTTCAATGGAATTGAACACCCTGACATAAATCCACACACCTGTGAACACCTGATTTTTGATGAAAAAAAAAGCCAAATTTATGCAATGGAAAAAAGAAAGCACTTTTGACAAATGTTGCTGGCGTAACTGGAGAACGGCACATAGAAAATTGTAAATAGATCCATGTCTATCGCCATGCACAAAACTCATTTCCAAGTGAATCAAAGACCTGAACATAAATGCAGTTACACTGAACATGACAGATCAGAAAGTGGGAAGTAGCCTTGACGGCACTGGCACAGGAGATTACTTCCTGAATATAGCACCAATAGTATAGACACTGAGATTGATAATTAATAAATGGGACCACCTGAAACTAGAAATATGTAAGGCAAAGTACATGGTCAATAAGACAAAATAGAAGCCTACAAGATTGGAAAAGATCTTCACCAATCCCTCATCTGACAGAGGGCTGATCTCCAAATACATAAAGAACTCAAGAAATTAGATATCAAAATAGCAAATAATTCAATTAAAATGGGGTACAGATTTAAAAAGAATTCTCAACAGAAGAATCTCAAATGGGCTAGATACACACAAAGATTTCTTCAGCACCCTTAGCCACCAAAGAAATGCAAATCAAAAGGACTCTGTGATTCCATCTTATACTTGTCATAACAGTTAAGATCAAAAACACTAATGACAGCCTATGGTGGAGAGGATGTGGAATAAGCAGAACTCTCCTCCACTGCTGATAGAATTGCATACTTGTACAGCCACTTTGGAAATCAATATGGCAGTTTCTCAGAAAATTGGGAATAAGAAAATTGGGAAAATTCTAATCTTAGGCATATACCCAAAGGATGTTCAATCATACCACAAGGACACTTGCTAAACTATGTTCATAGTGGCATTATTCATAATAAACAGAAACTGGAAACAACTTAGATGCCCTTGACCCGAGAATGGATAAAGAATTGTGGACATTTACATAGTGCTGTATTACACTGGTAAAGCAAATGACAGAATGAAATTTGCAGGCAAATGGATAGAACTAGTAAAATATCATCCTGAATGCAGTAATCCAGATCCAGAAAGACAAAATTGGTATGTACTTGTGCATAAATTGATATTAGAAGTAAAGCAAAGGATAAACAGGCTGAAATCCAAAGCTCTAGAGAGGTTAGGCAACAAGGAGGACACTAAGAGGGACACATGGATTTCCCAGGTAATGAGAAATAGAAGAGATCTCCTGGTGGTTGTTTGGGTACAGGAACATGAGGGATCAGGTTGAGCAGGTTGTCGACTGGAAGGAAGGGGAGAGTATGAAATAGTTGTCTTAATGAGGGGGAGCATATATTGGGGTTAGGGAGAAATCTGGTACCAGGGAAACTACCAGGAATCCACAAGGGTGATCCCAGATAAGACCTAGATATTCCTACACTTATAATCAGATTGGTGGCTACCCTAACTGTCATCAGAGAGTCTTTACCCAGTAACTGATGGAAGCAGGTGAAGAGATCAACAGCCAAGCACTGGGTGAAGCTCAGGAATCCTGGTGGAGAGATTGTATGGGTGTGTGTGTGTGGGGTCAATGTTATGACAGGGGAACCTTTAAAGATAGTTGGCCTGAGATCCTAAGAGCTCACAAATGCTGGACCAACAGTTAGGGAGACTGCGTGGGACCTGCATATGAGTGACAGTTGTGTAGCTTGGTCTCTTTGTGTGAAATCCCTACCCATGGAATAAGGACCTGTCTCTGACTCTTGATCAAGTGGATTTTGGGAACCTATTCCCCATGCTGGGTTGCCTGGCCCAGCCTTGATGCAAGGAGAGGAGCTTGGTCTTGTCTCAACTTGATGTGTCCTGCTTTGTTGGCTGCCATGGGAGACCTGTCCCTTTCTGAATGAATATTGAGGAGGAGTGGATATGGGAGGATGGAGAAGGGAAAAAGTGGAGAGGAAATATGAGAAACTGGTTGGTTTTTAAAATAAATGAAACAATTTAATTTAAAAAGGAGAACATAGTACAAAACCTATGGAAATTAGTATGACAACTCTTACAAAACCTGAAAGTATAATTCACATATGATCCAGATATAGTACCCTGTGAAGGACAATGGAGGAAACTGAGGATCATGTGTCAATTGAAACAAGCAAGGTAAGAGACAGATATCACATATCTTCTGCTGTTGAATAATCTAGATTTAAAACAAAATGTCTATGTACTTTCTATATCTATCTATCATCATTTTTTTCTGTCAATCATCTACCCTCTATTCATTGACATTTATTTCATGAAAGTACAAGGAGAAACCTGAGAGAGTTATAGTAATGAATATGAGGAAAGTATATGGTATGCATATATAGATATGTCATAATAAAACTCACTATTTTGTATGTTAATGTTTTAAAAGTTAAAAACCTCCCCACAAATGAGAGCATTTGGGGCTGCAAATGCAGAATAAGGTTGCAGTGCTTTATCTTACAGTCATATAATTGTACTCAACCAACCCTTATAGTAGACACTAATGAGTGATCAAAGATAGGGGTAAAAGAGACAGGAGGGATGTCAGAGAACCTCCAGAAAAGACCGCTAACCTTTTGGTATGAGGAAAATGCCACTGGCAGATATCAAGTTCCTCACCCAAGAGCCAAATTAGTTGCTGACAGATCAGGCAGCCCATCTCCCTCCATATGTTGCATGCATTCTGGGAAGCTGACTGCCATCAAGTATGCTGAATAAAATTGCTGCAGATTCAAAGAATGCAAAAGTTTAAAGCTTATGTTAAAATGTACTGTACTCTTCATAGTACGTTTGTTTTTAAGTTACAAAGAAAGCTTTAAATCCAGGGAAAATCTTGACAATTCCTCATAAAAATAGGACTTATATATGATATTGCCTACCAGCTACCTCACAAAGTACACTCCTCTAGTCTTTTCTACCAGCTGTTCATTTTATCTAGCTCCAGTCTTGTAACGATAACTCTTTCTGCCAGCCATCTGAGTTCCACTGCCATGTTAGGGCTCCCAAATAACACACAGTCTAATGTTAATCACAATGCTGCTGGCCAATGATTAGGATTTCTTATATGCTAGCTCTGTCTTAAGTATCAACCATAGCCATTAATCTATATATTTTATAATATTTATCTTAATGAGGATGCTAGCTCCATGTGTCCTCTCTTCACGGGATCACATGGCAACTCTCTTCTTTACTACATTTCCCAGAATGCTCCTTCTCTCCTAGTCCCACCTATTAGCCAACAGTGCTTCATTTATCAACCAATAAGACAAACATACACAGAAGGACTTCCCCCATCACAATGTCTCAAGTTTTTGCTACCAAATCACTTTCTTAGCATGGTAACCTGTCTTAGGTCAAACAACTACGAGAACTTACCATAGACTATGTGATTTCAACAACAGACATTTATTTCTCATGGTTCTAGAGGAAAGAAGTCTGGCAGATGTTGTGTCCCATAGAATTCCTTATCAATTTGTGCATGCATTGCCATCCATATTGTCATGAAAGGACATGTAGGTGGTAGAGGCATACTGCCTTTCAACTCTTGTTTAATATACCAATCTGATATCCAGTGCTCATGATCCAGGGGCTCAGAAAGACACTGTCTTTATTTGTCCACACTTTATTATTTGGGTTTCAATACATGGATTACGAATAGTGTGAAGACAGTCTATTGCATCTCCTTGAGGACTCAGGTCTTTCTCAGTCTCACCATGTGTTTCCTTTTCCTGCTCTACTTCTCTCCACACAGTTCAGTATCTTCCATCATGTGGTGAAGTGTATGGGCTAGTATCTTTTTGAACTGTACCAAAGTCCTGTCAAAATAAAAGCTTTTGCTTACTTTATGAACTCATGTACTCCAAGTACCTAAATCAATGAAGCTCAATAAATACTACTTATTTGCTTTAATGTCTCATCTGCATCCTGAAATCTGTTATTTAGCGTCAAAAAGTAGAGAGTTTTCTGAGCATTTTTGTTTATTCTACTTGATGCCTTTTTGATTTCCAGAAGAAGAAAAACATGGTGATTTCATGAACATTTACACAAAGGAAGTCTCATAGTCTGATTATTTTCATTGGATGTGTGGAACATTCATTGTTACTCAAAAAGGCTTCATTTTCCAGCTGAGGCTTATAAGTGGATACACAAGTGGTCATATTGCAGAGAATAAGTGACCATTGAATGTTCAGCCCCAATTGCCACAACTCCCTGCAGTTCTTATATGTGAGACACAGGAGTCATCAAGGAAGAGCTATGGCAAGTAAGACTGTAAGAACAGAAGGATTAGGACACACAGCCAGAAAGCATCTTCTAGATATGTCAATGTGACTTCACCAATAAGATCTTAGCAACATCATTGCCTAAATATGACCTGCAACATGACAATACTAGTCAACATGCCAACATACATGGAAGACAAGTTCACATGTGTCCACCACTAGGTGAAGAGCTACTGACAATCAGTGGCTGCTGACAGACAGAGAACCAGTTTTCTCTAGGGATAGTCTATCTGATCCCAAATGGTTATCCATGAACATATATACATGTGAGCATCACTTGTGTGTGAGTGTGTGTGTGTGTGTGTGTTTGTGTGTGTTTGTACACCACTAAAATTATAGAAGAGTTCATGGATTTGAAAGGGATCATGGGAGGAGTTTTAGGGGAGAGGGATAGGAGTAAGCAAAACAGTATTTTTATATATTAATTAAGTTCAATATTTATATAATAAATTAAGTTCAATATTTGAACTTAATTTCCCTGTATTTGTTTTTAGGAACACATTTAAGGTCCTCTGGCAAAACAAGTAGGCATTCTTAACCCATAGAGCCCTCTCTCCACCCCATCACAGTCTGGATTTGCTCAATTTGTTTTTATTCCTTTGTAGCATATTCTGCTCTTATCTCAGTTTCCCAATTCTTTCTGTTTTTCATTCTTTTTCTGTAATGTATCCTCAAGCAGAAGGTGTTTCTATCTAGAACCCATGTTACTAGACCAGTGTTCCAACCTGTGGGTCAGTTCACTTGAGACCATTGGAACACAGATATTTATACCATTCATAACAGTAGCAAAATTACAGTTATGAAGTATCAACAAAATAATTTTATGGTTGTGGTTCAACACAACTGCACCAAAGATTCACTGCATTAGGAAGGTGGAGAACCAATGTCCTAGAGAGTTATGTCCTAGCTGCCACACAGGGTCTGTTCACACTCATGATTTTCTCATGTTTCTTCTACTGCAATCAGATTCATGGTCTTCATCAGGTCTTCTCCAGATCACTGAAAAAGAGCCAACCTTCATGACCATATTCAACCAGAAACACTTTTAGAGAAAAATATTGATTTTCTTTTCCCTATGGAGGTAATTATTCTATTCTCAGTGCGACCCTTAATTTAACATCCAATTTATCCTTGTCACTAATTGATATACAACCATTCAACATAGTAATCTTGCATATGTTTGAGACAAGGCCAAATAACTAGCATATATTGAACCTAAGAATTTCTTTGCAGAAGGGAGAGAGAGAAAAGTAGATGAGATGAAAGTGACTTTAGATTTGGGCTTCTATGTATTTTCTTGATTGAATAATAAATATCTGCCTGTTAAATTCCAGATTATGTTTCATTTCGTAAAATATAATGAATTTTTCAAAGTGACATAAAATTAACAAGTTCAAATGCACTTAAACCTTAAGGACATTAAAATGAAAATATATTTCAAGATGTAACCTTCAATAAAACATTATCTAAAATATTATCATTACTAGTATTGTCCAGATGTAATTGAAAAGTAATAATGTTATGGGTTGAAGAAGTACTCACTGAAAAAAGTAGTAGCCACAAATGGGTGATAGTCTTATTTGAGTCTTCATCATCCAAGAACAATCATACATGGTATCACATGCATGGAATTCATGTGTTCCTCCAGAAAATGGGAGGTATTCAGGATACTCTCTGAAAGCCTGTGGGCTACCTAGTCTAAAATATACAGAAACAAGTTACTATTTCAGAAATGTGAAATATGACAACTGACTTCAAAGGAGATCCAATAACTACACAGAAGTGTGAATCTGTACTCATACACCCATACATACATTTATACCACACACTACTATAAACCAACAATTAATGAACAATTATAATCTTTGCATATGTTATATCATCCATGATATACAGTAGAACTTTAATTTTTTATATCACAGTCAAAGAACTACAATGATCATGTAGAGTCTGAAAGAGAGGTCCCTCTACCCACATATGCAATAAAATGCATAACAGGCATAGAAAGGATAGGTGGTAATAATTATTAGCAAAATAGAACAATTTGAATGGCATTTGATAATAGCAATGCCTTCTCTGTGTTCACCCTTCTTCTATGTGTGTGAGATCAAACCATTCTCACCCAATGATGCAATATAATGGAACAGATCCTGACACTGTGTGATCATTACACTGCCACTGACCACTTTTTGAGCCATTGGAAGAAGAATGAAGTCATGACTATGCCAATTAACATTGAGGAATAGAAACCATGGAAAGAGAAATTTCTAATATAGTTTATACATCATGATTTACAAGACAATAATGTTTCTCATAAAAGTGCTACAAATGATATTCTAGAATTTTAATTGATATTTCCATCTACCAGTTGTTTTCTCTTTGGTGGTAGGGTGGAGGGGGCATCCCAGATAACATAGAATGGTAGGATGGGAGTTGGACATGCTGCTTGAAATTTCCAAAGAAATAAATTAAATATATGAAGGAAAGTAAGGGCAAATTTAAAACATGACATTCATCACCTGGGAAAGAGCCCTCAAGTGCAATGAATAAGAACTGTTTTTGTTTTTAAGCTATTACTTGGAATTAAAATAGAGGCAAAATTAGAGCCTAATGGATGTTCCAAAGTAGAGAAACATGAGGAAAATAAGGTGGAATTTTCACTTAAAAGTAAAAATAAGCCCAAGACACAGGATATATATCAAAACTTGTCAGATAGGTGATGTATGAATTTCATAGGAATAACAGAGCATAAAGGTAGAAAATTGTTAAATACAGCAAAGGGAAATTTGAGGAGTAATAAATGCATTCAAAAGAACACTGTAGAATGATAAAATATGTGGTGCAATGAGCCTGTCTGTTCCCTGCAACAGATTTCACATTTGGCCACAGTGAACAATCGTCCAGCTGTCGGGGGAAAGTTTGTCATATTTAAATCAACTTCTTCTGTGCCAGAAACAAGGTCAGATGTAAAGAAAAGGGATATTCTGTCACTTATTGGACTTGACAGTAAATTACACTTTGATGAACAGATGGACTTGAAGAGATTTAAATTCATAATCAAAGTGTAATAGCTAGGAACTGTGATTTGGAATTCTCAGTCAACATATCAGTGAAGGACATGTCTTGAGCCCCTGTCACAAAATCCTATCTCCTCTGACTAAGATCGTGTCCACCAAAGTTCAAAGAATGTTTATATACTATGAAAAATAAATGGGTTGTATACAAGTGTGTGATTCAATTTACAATATTTTTCTAAATAAAATGAAAATTATATGTTTAATAAGAGCTAGGAGAATGAGAAGGGGAGAAGAGGAGGGGTGAGGAGGACATGAGGGAACAGAAAGGTTGAGTCAGGGGAAGAATAGAAGAAAACAAGAAAGGAGATACCATAATAGAGGGAGACATTTTAGGTTTAAAGGGAAATCAGGCACTAGGGAAAGGTCTGGAGATCTATAAAGATGACACCAACTAACAATGTAAGCAACAGAGGAGAGGCTATATTAAATGCCTTCCCCTGATAATGAGATTGATGACTGACTTATATGCCACCAGATAGCTCTCATCCAGCAGTTGGTAGAAGTAGAAGCCAATACCCACAACTAATCACTGAACTGAACTGGAATCTAGATGCAGAAAAGGACGAGTGATGGGCAAAGGGGTCCAGACAAGGCTGATGAAACCCACAGAAACAACTGACCAGAACAACGGGGAGATCTTGGTCCCCAGACTGATAGCTGGGATACCAGCATGGGACTGATTCAGACCCCAGGAATGTGGGTGTCAGTGAGGAGACCTCCTGTAAGTAGTTCAATACTTATCCCTAGCATAGGTGTCGGCTTTGGGAGCCAATCCAGTACAGGGATACTCCTTGAGCCAAGACACACGGGGGTTGGGTCTAGGCTCTATCCCAAAGTGTAGGATAGACTCTGAAAATCCCCTATGGAAGGCCTCACTATCCCAGGGGAGCAGAAAGGATATGTGATAGGTAGGGTTATTTCGGGGGGGGGAGGTAGTAGCGGAGGAGGGGCGGGAGTGGGAACTGAGATTGACATGTAAAACAATCTTGTTTCTAATTCAAATAGAAAAGAATAATAAAAAGATGAGGTACTCGATGCAAAGGTGTCCTTTCTTTCTCATATAATTCAATAGGGCTGGGCAAGTCTTACATCATATATTACCGAATGCAAATACATCAGGATGAGGTAAACTAAATGCTATTAGATGATTTCACTGTGGGTGGTAGTGGAGAGAAAGGGAGCACTAAGTTACAATGTTCTATGGCAGAGAAGGATGCTGAGTATTTAAAAAAGCTGCAAGAAAGGATTGTGAACATGTAGACATGAGGAATTTATGAGCTCAATATGGTTCCTGTGATTCAAAAATTGGGCATTAAATATGGCAATGTACCATATAGATATAACATTTTGCCATTAGAATTACAAAATTTAAGAAAAACAGCATTATCCAAATCTTCAGGAGTTCTAACCAAATGTGTTGGTCCATCAAAGACATATAATGCATTGTGTACAAAACGCTTAGAGAGCAACTAGAATATCTTGCCTTCTCCCTTCCCTAACAGTGTCTGTCTGTGTAGGCCATGCTGTGTAGGCCATTCCATCTCACAATCTCCCTGCCTCAAGCTCCAAGAGCTGGATTGCTGGTGTTTGCCAACATGCTAGGCTCTTTTTATTACATTTACTAGTGTTGGTCATTAAAAACCTAATCATAAAGATGGTGAGTCTATGGACAGAGGAGAGGACAATTTTTAAATACTACTCTGTCCTACATGTGTTGAGAGATTTCAAGCTGTTACCCAACATAACAAATGCTTTCTATTTCTTCCTCTTCTCTGCCTTCTTCTTTTTTCTTCTATCCATTTCATTTCTTTTAATAAAAATGTGTAAATTCTTGTTATACATTAAGCAGTATAGCACTGATATGATATATAATAAATCTTCCATGTGCTTCAAGCATGCATGGCTTATGATACCAAATTAAACTTGGAGAAAATGATGCACAATTACAATTTATGAGTGACATGACAAATGAGAGAAATAATGTAAGTTTACTACTTTGATCTTCCCATATTTGAACATATGCTTGCAAGATATTTTTTATTGCTTCAGTGTAATGTCACTAAGACGTACTCCTTTTAGCTTTTGGAAATGCCTCGAACAACTGAAATCATCAATCCTTCTTAATCACTTGAATTTATTGACAGAGCATTTATACACAATGTTTGTTGTGCAAGGCAGAAAGGGATCAGCAAGATGATGGTATGTTAAATTAACCTAAAAGCTAATATGTCAGAAACATGAGGAGGGTAAAAGTCATATGTGGCCAAAGAATATGATAAATTATTACAGTACAGTTATAAAAATATTGGAAAGCCTTGAACAAAATTCTAAGCTTTTAAGTTGAATTTGAGCTTAAATTAAAATTGGTCAGATACAGAAGGCTATTTTGGGTCAAACCATATGATGTCAATTGTGATGATGACGTTCTAGAGTTGATGCTACAGACTTCAGAGAATGTTCCAGAGTTTTTAGATACCCTGTACTTTCAGACAGTCCTCAGGATATGAAGCAGTGGTTTTGATGAGTTAACTTTGAGTTACAGTAATGGAATTTTGGAGGGCACTAGTAGTATCTAATGAGCAGAGTAGGAGATGCCATGCATTCTTCTCAATACACAGTATAATTTTCCAGGATAAAGAACTGTCCAGTCTAATACATCAAGAGTGTGAAGGATGAAGACAACTAATACAGGGGACAAAATATGCTATGGTGTGACTACATGAAGAGTGATTTTAAGGGTAAAAGACAAGAGTTCTGAGGTAACAGGTATTATAAATATGTGCTGACAGAGGTCATGTCTGTGACTGCATGTGCATACCATCTAGGCAGCTGCAGAAGGACCCTCACGCAGATGGACCACATTTAGTACAAGAAACTCCACATTTTCCTCTTGCTAATTATGTAGTTGTTTCAGCTGCTGGGCTTTATAGTTAAGAATGTTGAATAATAGATGACGGGGAAGAGTTGAACCGATGACATTTCATCCATGGTGCTGTTTGCAGTGTGAACTAGTGGAGGCTTGATGTATTTGAGAAAAGGTAAAGAACAGAGCATGATAGATATTGACTTAGAGGTACCTACTGGCTGCAGGTTGACATCAGATTGTGCAGGGCCTTGTATCCTAAAGATTTAGTCAGGAGCAATGACTTTTGTAATCAATATCAAATTAGGGTTGAGAATATAATTAGGTAACAAAAAGGAAATGGTGAATGTGGGCAAATATTAGGGAAAATCAACATTCAGCCAACAACTCATGTATGAATATATAATCTGATATGCAATAAGCATCTATACACAAGATTCAAAATGCACAATGATCATTCTGTTCTTTCCAAAGAGTCTCAAATCTGGCAAGATTATTTTTACAAGTCAGAATGTAACAGAATGCTACTGTTTTTTTTTTCCATAGAGAAAGTTATTTTTTAATAAAATATTTTAGGTACTTGGAAGACTGTGTTTTAATGAAAAGACAAAAGATAAATTTAATGTTCTTTCTGGAAGTAATGCCTTATTGTAACCTATTATGTGCAGTGAATACAAACATTTGGCTAAATGAGATCATGTTGCTTTTTGCCCCCAGGGGACATTCAGATGTTGCAATGACAAAATCCCAGG